ATGGGCCTGGTGCTTGGGACCATGTGCTGCCTGAAAAAAACCACATCCAATTGACACTTTTGTGTACCTACGGCTGAGTTCTCTGAGCTGCAAGGTCCTTTGAGGATTTATTTGGCTACTGGAGGTGATATTGCTGAAGATCAAATGCAAACTGAAGTCTGCGGTTTAGGGCTGTGTCTGTGTATGGGTTCTCTATGACCTACTACCTCTATTCCCAAGACTGATCTATTTCCCCATTGAATTAATGATCTGTGACCTCAGTATCTGTGCTGACATTGTGTGTGTGTGTGTGTGTGTGTGTGCACGTGTGAGAGAGAAACAGACAAAGGAATATGAGGGAGGGGTTGGGATTTCTGACCTCCAGGGGAGAACCTCTGCCTCTGGTATCAAGGGGCCTGTGTTCAGAGCTGGGCTGTGCAGCCCGCTGCCTGGGAGGGAAGGTGTTCAACTTTGCAGATCTCAATTTCCTCTTCAATAAAATGTAAGTTTAAAATCTCTACTTCAGTGAATGCTGTGTATTGTGTTCAATACATTGCTATGCTTTTTAAAAATATTCTTATGACTATGGAAGTCAAAATTATATAAACATGAAACAATATACAAATGTAGGAAACAAGGAATAACTAATACCCAAAGAAAAGACTTATTAACATTTTGAGGTGTGTTCTTCTAACCTATGTCTCACCCATTTTTCACGTAGTTAAAATCAGAGTGTAAGAATGATGGTTGTTATGTTTTGAGCACTTTGGTGCCAGGAACTGAACTTGATGCTTTACATATGTTGTCTGATTAATTTTCCCAATCCTATTCAGTAGATATTATTATCCCCAATATTTTTTAAAATATTTATTTACTTATTTGAAAGATGGAGTTACGCTGCTTCACTCCCCACATGGCTGCAATGGCTGGAACTGGGCTGATCTGGAGCCAAGAGCCAGGAGCTTCTTCTGGGTCTTCCACATGGGTGCAGGGGCCTGAGCACTTGGGCCATCTTCTGCTGCTTTCCCAGGCACATTAGCAGGGAGCTGGATGGGAAGTGGAGCAGCCAGGACTGCAACCGGTGACTGTATGGGATGCTGGTGCCACAAGCGGAGGCTTAGCCTACTACCCCACAGTGCTGGTCCCTATTTTCCCCATTTTACAGATGACTGACCCTAAACTAGGCAATATGGTGCAGGCTTTTATAGCTTAAAACAAACCTTTGTGTATGCTATGTCATTTGATGCTTTAAGTTGGGTTTGAAAGGTATTCTTATCTCCATTTTACAGAGGCAGTATCTACAGCTGAGTGGCTTGCTAAGGCCTCACTAATACATGGCGGAGGAAAAAATCCAGGTTTCCTTACCATAGAGGATGTGAGTGGTGTGCTTTATAAACGTCCCTTGGGGGCTGGTGTTGTGGTACAGTGGGTTAAGCCTCTGCTTGTGACATCAACGTTCCATGTCGGAGCTCTGATTTAAGTCCCAGCTGCTCTGCTTCTGAACCAGCTTTCTGTTAATGCCCCTGGGGAAGCAGTGGAAGATGGCCCAAGTGCTTGAGCCCCTGCCTCCCATATGGAAGACGTGGATGGAGATCCTGGCTCCTGGCTGCCAGCTTTGGCCTGGCAGCCCTGGCTGTTGCAGGCATTTGGGGGATGAATCAATGGATGGGTAATCTCTCTGTCTCTTCCACTTTCTCTGTCACTCTGCTTTTCAAACAAATACTTCTCTTTTAAAGAACAACAAAGTTGGAGTCATACCCTTCCTGAATTCAAAGCTTAGTATAGGGGCCTGCATTGTGCTGTGATGGGTTAATCTGCAACCTACAATTCTGGTATCCCATATGCACAAAAGTTGGAGTCTCAACTGCTTCACTTACCATCCAGCTTCTTGCTAATGTGCCTGGGTAAGCAGAAGATGACCCAAGTTCTTGGGCCCCTGCACCCACATAGAAGACCCAGATGAAACCTCTGGCTCTTGGCTTTGGCTTGGCCAAGTCTTAGCTGTTGTGGCCACCTGGGGAGTGAACCAGCAGCTGGAAGACCTCTCTCTATGTCTCTCCCTCTCTCTCTGTAACTCTGATTTTCAAATAAAAAAAATCTTTTAAAAAAGCTTATTACAAAGCTACCCTAATCAAAACAGTATGACACTGATCTAAAGACAGAGCTACAGACCAGTGGAATAGAAGGACTGGAAATAATCATTTGTGTGGTCAAATGATCTTTGACAAGCATGCTAAGACCACTCAAGGTGTGTGTGTGGGGGAATCTTCCCAACCAGTGGCACTGGGAAAACTGCATTTCCATATAAAATAATGACTTTTGAGCATTACCTTTTCACCATATAAAAATCAACTCAAACTGGAAAAAAAAGACCCAAATATAGAGGCAAAGCTACAAAATTCTTATGAAGAAATACAGGGGAAAGTTTCAAGACATAGAATTTGGCAATTATTTTTTGAATATGACACCTAAGGCACAGGCAGCAAAACAGATAAATTGGACTACATCAAAATTAAAATCTTCTGTACCAAAGAACACAATCAATAGAGTGAAAGTACAATCGATAAGATGGGAGAACATTACCTGTAAATCACACATCTGAGAAGGAGCTCATATCCAGGATATATAAAGAAATCTTAAAATGCAACAGCAATCAAAACAACCCACGTAAAAAGGAGCAAGGCACTTGAAAAGCATTTGTCCAAAAAAGACATGAAAGGACCAAAAAGCATATGAAAAAGTATTAGACATCACTACTCACTAGGGAAATGCAAATCATACCTAGGAGGGGATAACATCTTCTACCCACTAGCTGGCTAGTATGAAAACAAACAAAAATGGGAGAAACTGGGATCCTCAAACACTGTTGGTGGGGATCTAAACTGGCTCACCACTCTGGCTGGTGGCATGTTGTATAGTACAGAAGCTCCTCAAAGAATTAAAGTAGACTTGCCACACGATGCAGCAATTCCACTTCTGAGTATATACCCAAGGGAGTTGAAAGTAGGGACTTACACAGATGCGGTGCACCTATGTTCATACCAGCATCATTCGCAACAGCCAGAGACAGAAGCAACCCAATATCCATCAGTGAATGAATGGAGGATCAACATATGGTTCAGTGGAATGTTATCCAGTCTGGAAAAGGGAGGGAATACTGACATATGCTACAGCATGAATGAATCTGGAGGACATTTTGCTACATGGAATAAGCCAGTCAAAACAGGGACAAGACAGGATGATTCCACTTACACGAGGTACCTAGAGCAGAAAGTAGAATGGTGGTTGCCAGAGGCCGGGGGCAAGGGGCGGGGAGTAGTGAGTGATGTTGAATGGTACAGGGTTCCAATCTGGCGGGACAGGAGGGTTCTGGAGACTGATGGTGGTGATGGGTGCATACGCTATGTAGACATAACAATACGAATGTACTTGGTATCCTTGACCTCTGCACTTAAAATGGTTAGGCTGGTAAATTTTACATTATGTATGTTTTACCACAAATTTTTAAAAATGTAGAACAACCCTCCCGATTCCACTTGATGAAAGACGAGTTGATTGATTATGGAGGCTTGCCTCCTTGAAGCGACTGGTTTCTTGGGAAGAGCTCACTGGAATCCCGAGTATGACCTTTCCAAGAGCTGCGTGGAAGTGCCCAGGCCTGGGCTGTCACACAAATCCACGTCTCCCCACCCACCCCCACCTGCTGATGGAGGCTCCAGGGCTGAGGGGCAGGCAGGGTGGCTACACTCTTGCCTACCAGACCTGGGACTTTTCTCTCTGACTCTGGCTGCAAGTAGGAACCATGGGAGGTGTGCAGTTGACCTTTAAATGTTTACACACCATCTAAGGAAACTAAAAGAACAGAAGGGGGTGAAAAGAAGCCCCAGAAGACACACAAGTCAATGAACCTCAGTCAGTTTTGCAGCTTAGAGACAGCTCCAAAACTCAGTCCTTCCAATCACTGTCACTAGTAAGCTATGTCCAGCTGTGGGACTGGCAAGTCATTACATCTCCCTGGGCCTAATGCATCATCTTTTTAACATGAAGACAATACTTCCCCTATTGATCTAAAAAGCTTATTAAAAATGAAATGAAAGTCCATGAAAATATTTCAAGACTAGTCTAAAGAGCTATCTACATAATACATGCACTTATCGTAGGCTCTGAAGTCAGACTTTGAGGAATAAATGGATTGTACTGTACTCTTCTGCTTAAGTTTGATAGTTACAGGTCAGGTATACAAGGTGTGTATCATACAGAGTAGTTCCATACAAGGCAGCAAGGATGACTTTGACCTTGTAGCTGCTTCCCTGTGACTGGTCCCAGGCCACTCTTTTCAGTGGGGGCAGGGTTGGGGTGGGGGTCAGGAAGGTGAGACATGGGGAGATGGTGTTTTTGATGTTGCCTGTCCTGCTGCAAGGACACCCCTCCCTTTTCTGGGGGTAATTTTCCTCTTCTCCCTCAGTCTGTGTGGCCCAGGTGTGGTGCCCTCCTCCTTTCTCACCCCCTCTGTGGCCCTCCAGGCTGGACCCACCAGCATATTCCCTCTCCTCCCCTGCTCAGTAGCAGCGATGGGTTCAGCAATAGAGCTGAAACCTAAGCCAGGATAGTGAAACACAACCCTGGGCTTTTCCTGGACCCTCCAGGAAACAGAAACTGTTCCTGGAGGTGGCTCAGATGGTGGAATGGAAGCCTGGAACCCAGGAACAGGAGGCCCACACAAGGGGAGAAAATCCAAGAGATGGTGGGAGCAGACCCTGAAGAGCAAATCTGAATATCCGATCCATCCAAGTATGAGCCACTACTGGGCATTTTAGTTCCGAAAGTCATTAATTCCACTCCCATCCCTCATTGGTGTATGTGTGTGTGTGTGTTAATTTGAGTTGCGTTTCTGTCACAACGTCTGATTATTGTAATTAGGAAAGAGACTTCGGATTTCTTCCCAACCTCATGAAGTTTATTCCCCCCAATAAAATGCCCCTCGGTTTCCTCCTGGAATGATCCCCATAACCACGGCTCACCCTGCGCCCGAACTCTTCCCCTTGCTTCACTTCCCGGGGGTAGCCGTCGATCAGGAAGCCCTGGGTGTCTCGGAGGCTGGCCACCATGGCCTCCCGCAGGAGCTCCAGAACGATGCCCTGCAGCAGAGACAGAGTGGTCAGGACCGGAGCTTGGCCACAGAGTCACCCTAGAACGAGCACAAGTCTTCTCTAGCGGGCCTGTGAGAGTGGGAGCAGGGCTCAGCTACAAAGTAGGGCAGCAGCAATGTACTGCGTCTCAGCCATTCTAAGTCTCACGCCTCACCCAACACGCTAATGTTTTTGAAATTAGTAGCTACTGACCCAGGGCTGGATTATAGTTTAATTGTCAGCCTTTTCTTTAAAACTGACATATTCTTATTGGTTGCATTTTCCTGGGGTGTCTTAAAACAAGGCATCTTAGATGAGATAAAACATGGTGGCCATATTTCAGCTGGGAGCACTCCATGAATTAGGTACAACAGGGTGTAAGGCTAGACCAAACGATATTAAATACATTCCACTCCTAATTCTTCCCAGTAAATATTTTGTAAAACTCGACATCCACTGACTCGAGACTCAGTAGATGTGAAGGAGTATTTCCTAGTAACATTGCTTTCCGTTAACATTTTCTTGATACAACAAGTGCTTATGCAAAACAAGGGAGGTGAGAGATACATGGGAGTCTGGGAGTGGGTGCAGGAGAAATGCAGGCAGCTGCCCAGCTGGAGGAAGTCCCTGTTCTCTGGCGCTGTGGCTTTGGGCAGGGGCTGGGGGATGGCAGATTTCAAAAGCCTGGTTAGGATCTAACTTTAGACAATTGTGAATTAACTCCTTGGGAAGCTGATAGTCTAGTGGGGAAATGAGTCAGCATGAGAGAACTGGCATGCAGTTCTCTAATTAAAGCAGAGCAAAGAGTTACAGAATGCTGGGAATGCCGTTTTACACAGGGTAGTCGGGGAGGGCCTCTTTAGTGAGTTGTGATATTTCAGAGATGTGGATGCAGTAAAGGAGCAAACTATGTGAATACAGGAAGAGAGAGCGCTTGGGCTGAGGAAGTGGCTAGTGCAAGGGGCCTGAGGCAGGAACAGCCTAACCTGTGGGAGGAGCCAAGAGGAGCCAGTGATTGGGTGGGAGAGAGCAAGGTGAGTGATGAGAAATGGGGCTGGAGAGGTGGCTGGAGGCCAGAGCCTCAGGTGGCGGGTAGGGAGTCAGGATCTCGTTCCGTGTGTGTTGGGGCGCCATTGGAAGGGTCTGAGGAAGGGGCACACGTGCTAAACATGTTAGAGGAATCACTGCAGGAGGAAATGAGTGGATGCAAGGGAGCCGGGTAAGAGGCAGTTGCTGTGGTCTGCTTCCCTTTCACGAAGAGGCCTCCAGCTTCCCGGTGGCAGATGGACTGCACTGGCCAAGAGGAAGCGGGTGCTCTGTCGGCTGACAGGGACTGCAGGGCACAGGGCCTGGTTACAGAGCCCCACTGGGATGGAGTCCAGCAGGACGCCCACGATGGCAGCCACTTTTCAGGGAGAGATGGTGACTTGAAAAGTAAGGCAACCTTCTTAAAAAGGGATACTCTTTATTTAAATTACACAAGGCACCAAACTTCAAGACAATGCTATCTTACCTCCCAGAACCAGACCAAAGCACTATTTACTTTCTGGGGATTCGTAACTCTAGGCTCTGGACATCATGTTCACCTCTGTTTTGTGGATTTTACCTGGGAAGGGGGGACCAGTGTTGGCGGGAGACATGAGGTAGGCACGCACGTAAGGGACTGGCAGATGAATGAGATTGGGGAACCCTGGGCCTGCATCCTGCACAGCTGGCTGCGGCCGGCGGCTCCTCTGCTGGAGACCTGGCTGCCCCTGGACTCTCACACAGGCGACAAGGACAACACAGCTGTTGGCCCTCCGGGTTTCTTTGTCCCAGCAGCCCACATGCATCACACCAGTCCCCGGCCTCACCCCAGCCAGGGAAGGCAGCTGAGAGGGGCAGGCCTCGTTGCTTACTGAGGGCACCAGGTCTCCACGCTCCATGATGTCTCGGATCAATTTGCTTCTTTCAGATTCTGACGCCAGTTCATGACGCAGGAGCTCGCCAGTGGAGAGATGTGTGAATCCGTATTTTTCCGCCAGCTTCTCACACTGTGTGCCTTTGCCAGAGCCAGGGCCACCTTGAAAAGAAGTCAGGTGTCAAAACACATAGCCGAAGCCTTGTGGTTGCAGCCACCGAGCGTGGATTGGGAACTGCGGGTACAGCAGGAGCTGTGCTGGGAGGGATCGGCACAAGTGGAGAATGAGACACAGTCCTGGCCCTTGAAGAGCTTATTATCCTTGGTGGGGGCTTATTATCCTTAGACAAACAGCCAGCTGCTACTAGTTACAAGTGGTCTACTTTGGTAACTAGGGGTTATCAGCAGATACAGGTGGACTAATGCGGAGCTGTCCCTTTGGTAGAGATGCAAGCCACATAGGCTTCCTGAGGAGCTGAACCTGCACACATAAGACACTGGCCATGATGCCTGATGTATGGTGGACCCTCAACAAATGCTAGTGGCTAATTAAAAAACATCTTTCAAACAATTACAAATTTACAGAAAAACTGTAGTACGAGAACAAAGACTTTGCTGAAACATTTTAGAATACACTGCCGATGGGATGCCCCGCGGTTCCCAAGCATTTTAGGGTTATTTTCTACAAACAAGGACACGAGCACATCCTCCCACATGAGGACATCCTCAGGGCCCATTCTAATTTCCCAGCTGAGTGAGTAACATCCTTGGAAGCCAAGGGATCAAGTTCACAGTCAAGCACTGCCGTTAGCTGTCATGTCCTCCTGATCTCCTTCAGTAGGGAAAGTCTCTCCAGGTTTCCTTGGCATCTCTGAAGAGTGTGAATAATCATCCCGTAGACTAGCCCTCAATACACAACTTTCCTAGCTAGCATTATTAATTCTGAAAGTCTGCCATGCCCCTTTGATGAATATTACATCTTTGACCCTTTCCCTTGCTTCCCAAGCCCATCTAATTGCTAAGTCACAGGATTTTACCTCTAAAAATAATAGCTACCCATTGGTATGTGCTTACTGTACTGATCACTGCCCAAAGCATTTTATGTGTATTAATTTGAAATATCCCCAAGAAGCAGGTATTTTTTTAAAGAAAGATTTATTATTTATTTTACTTGAAAGTCAGAGTTACACAGAGAGAGGAGAGGCAGAGAGGTCTTCCATCCGATGGTTCACTCCCCAGTTGGTCACAACGGCCGGAGCTGCACCGATCCGAAGCCAGGAGCCAGGAACTTCTTCCGGGTCTCCCACGCAGGTGCAGGGGCCCAAGGACTTGGGCCATCTTCTGCTGCTTTCCCAGGTCATAGCAGAGAGCTGGATCAGAAGTGGAGCAGCTGGGTCTTGAACCAGTGCCCATATGGGATGCTGTTGCTTCAGGCCAGGGTGTTAATCCGCTGTGCCACAGCGCCAGCCCCAAGGTATATTTTCATTATCCCCATTTTACAGATGAGAAAGTGGAAGCACTGAGAAGTTAACTCCCACCCTTAGGCTGCAAAGCTGGCTCATAGCAAGCCTAGGATGTGAAGCTTGGACTCTGGCTCTTAAGACATCTCCTTCTCTCTTTCCCTGGGACTAGAATCACCCAGCCACAGCACAGGTCCTCATGCTGTCTGCCTGGCAGGTGGCCGCCAGTCCACCTACATGCAGGAATGGGTGAGGCTTTGGAGTCCAACAGTCCCATCAGCAGGATGATTGGCCTGAAAAACATGTCACCCCCCAACTCCCTGGCACGCCCTGGCTTCCCACGCCTGACAGAGTAAAACCCAAACTCTTCAGAGTGGCCCTTGACTGCTTTAGAATCCGGTCTCATGCTGCCTCTGCAGCGTCTGCTGTCCACGTCTTACTTCCCCTGACACTGTCATGCACCATTGCACCAGCTCCCTCAACCACACCGGCCCTTCCCAGCCCCCATGGCTTCCTCTGCTGGAAAGGCTCTTCCTGCCTCCTCCTGTCTTCTTTTTCTCCCCCAGCCCTGTGGGGGTCCATCTACAACATTGTATAAGTGTAAGGTGTATCAGTGTTACAGCAGCCTGGTAGATACTAGCCTATGTGTGTAGGAGGGGCTGAAGACAATGAGAAGTTTCAAAAAAAAAAAAATTACATGCAATGGAGCGAGGAAACAAGTCCTGAGAGCGGGACCCAGCCTCCTGTTTGTCTCCCCAGCCCAAGGTGTCTTCGCCTGTCCTGTATCAAAAGGAACTCACTGAATTGAGGGAGCGATACAGCTGGCCCTACAGGACTAAAGGAGACATTTGCTTCTCCAATAGATAAGAATCTGATGGCCAGTACTGTCCAGAGGGTTTGTTTAGGGGAATTCCACATCCAAAAATCCCGCACAGACTTTCCCAGAAGAGGGAGGAGGGGAAAAAGAAACGGGGGACCCATATTCCTGTCCATAAAACCCAATCTGAATGCAGACCGGGCTCTCGGTCCTTTACTAAAATGCCTGCCTGGTCTCTCAGGTGCATGAATTTCTCTCTCTTCACTTTTTCCAATAAACTAGGCTAAAATTGGCTTCTCGTCTGCTCCTTCATTGGCTACATACTTTGTTGTCAATAGATCAAATTCCCGGGGTTCAAATCAGCAGTTACATCTGGTGATGCTGTGATACCCGTATGCGTCAGGAAATGATTACCACAGTCATGGTAACATCCACAACCTTGCAGAGGTTTCCTTTGTCTTGGTGGTGAGGATCTTTAACATTGCTTCTCTTAGCTGACTGCGAGCATACAATACAACATTTGCTGCCATCACCATGCTGTTAGCTTTCCAGAACGCAGTCCTCATGAAACTCAACATCTATAAATTTGACCCCATCTCTGCATTTCCCAACCCCTCAGGCCCTGGCAGTCACCATTCCATTCTCTGCTTTGATGAGTTTGGCTTTTTAAAATTCTACTGATAAGTGAGACCATGCAGTATCTGTGTTTCCAAGTCTGCCTTGTTTTCACTTAGTACTTGTTTTCACAATGACACACTGGAGTATTATTCAGTCATAAAAAGCAGGACATGCTGCCATTCGCAATAACATGGATGTATCTCAAGACAACTGTCTCTCTCTTTCACACACACACTCCTCACTTTCTTTACCCAGCCATCCACTTCCCTAACCATCAAGACCCTCCTTACTCAAAGCCCCAGTCAGATGCGTCCCCTTCTGGCAGGAACTGGACCTCGTGCCCTCCCCTCTGTTGGTCTGGTGGGGCCAACAGCACTTGCGTGCCCTCCACCTGCCTTAGACCCGGTCTCCAGGTCCCTTGCCAGCCCCTCTGTGGTGGAGACAGTGCTGGGTGCTCTCTCTCAGCACCCAGCACAGCACCCTGCACATAGTAGGTGTTGCCTAAACGCCTCACAAATCAAACCTTTCTGATAAAAGCAAGTATCAGCATTGAAATGGAGACCCGACTGAGATTTCCACGCAGTAGTGAGGACCTAGGACTTGCACTGTATTTTCTTATCTTGGCTCCTCTTCCCCAGGACAGCTGGCAACTCCCCTGCCCCGCCCTTAAGGAGGAACATTCATTGTTGTCTCTCAGAAGTTGAGGGGCCTCTTGTTCCCCCCTCTCTGCCTTGGCGGAACATCCAGGCAAGCTCCACGTGTTCTGTCCCCTGCCTGCCGTGCAGCTGTTCTGAGCCCACTGCGGAGGAGTCAGCCCTGCGGTGTTGCCGCTCATAGAGGCAGCGACAGACGCTCACAGAAGGGATGTAGGCTCCTTGCAGGAGCAGCCGCCCACCAGCTAATGCTATGTTTGCTCCAAGCACCGAGTCTCTGACCTCCTGATGGAACGGAGAGTGCGGGAGCCAGAGAGGGCCACTCGGGAGGAAGTGCTTCCAGACACAGACAGATGAAGAAGCAAGCGCTGGGCTGGGGGGTGGGGGCTGCTGAGGCTGCATTATTTACCTGGAAGCCCTCCCTTTTCCTGGGATGGCTGGAAGCCGGGCATGTGGAAAAGATATTTTCGGACTTGGCCCACAAGGCACAAATGCTGTGTTCCAATTATTTTCTTCCTTCAGCTTTCCACTAATACGACTATTACAGTTTTTGTTCTTCTCAAATGTTATTTAATAAATTCCGACACGAAGGCAATTAAAAATCTTCAGCTCAAATTAACAGCAGCTGTGTGTTAAGTGCCAGCCGCTGCCCCAGTTAGGAACCTTTAGCAACAGCTGCAGATTCTTAGCGTTCTTGGGCCACATGGCGCAGGCACTGTGGAATTTTAAGCGATCTGCACAATGGCTTGATTCTTTCCTTGGCTCCTAACTGGAGAACAAAGTGATTTTATTAGTGCAGTGAACGCACAACTGCTAGTAGAAACATGAATTTTCATCTATTGTCACTTTACATGTCTTTGAGGTCTTAACTTATGACTTTTAAATAAAAAAACAGTAGGGCCTTGGTGTCCCTTCAGGAGAATTTGTTCCATGGAAAAAAATCTATTTGAGGAGCCGTATCTCAGAATGAGTGGGCTGTGTTCTCTGATGACAAGATGACTGATGGCAGATGAGGAGCTGGCATACTCACTGTCACGTGGCTGGCTTCCAATGTGTCGTTATTGCAGGTTTAAACCCCTGGACAAACCCATACTCAACACCACATGGTGCAGGTCAAAAAGAGTCTGGGATATGAGACTGCATTTTGAAGGGTCTGTCAAGGCTTAAAAAGAATCCTTATTTTCAACTTCAAATGTAATTTGAATTTTTTTTCCATGCCAGGCCAAAGGCACCATATTGGGAAAAGTGCAAATACTATGAACTCCACTGTGCAGCCAGTGTCCACAGAAAGGAGAGCAGAGGAGCCGGGAGCCCAAGTCTGTCTTGGCACTCCGGGTCCACTTTGGTGCCTGTATTTTCTGAGGTGGAATGGAAACAGTGGTCATCAGCGCAGCACGCCCATGGGGTCCAGTTTGCTGTGCTTATTTACAGGAGCAATTACACCCTGAAAGACAGCTCCTGGACTCAGCTGGGCTCCTCAAGATAAGAACCTGCCCCCGAAGGCTGCTGCAGGTGCTTGGTCTCAGGAGAAGAAAAAAAAATGAATGAAATGGCAAAGCTGGGCTGTGACAGCACATTCTGGGTTCAGAAACAATGTCCACACAAATAAAGATG